CTCTGTCATAGCCCGAATTTCGCCATCTTTTTACTGCGATTACCTGACCTCGCCAGTCGCAGACTAATAGAAATAGGAATGACGCAAAAATTTATGACTTCATATAAATGCAAAAGTATATTGGAAGTTTACTGCGATATATTTTGGAATGGCATGTGCAATGCTGCCAGTACTGATAGTGAATAATGAAACGCAGCCATAGTCTGTTTTCTGTTTCTACACTAAACTGTTCTAAAACTCTTTCTCGTTTTAAACAAATATCATACGTATATCTTTCTCACTTTAAGTTCCAAAAGTGTGTACACTAGTTCAGCCACAGAAAACAGACCTAGAGATGTAATTCCGTCCGTATGTTCCACTCTCAGTATTGTTAGTAATGTCAGTAAGATGGCGCAGTCCCAGTTTCTCGATCTTACTAATCCATCTTAAGGTGCCATTTTATGCAGCGAAGCTTCGCTGGCGAAGATCCCCCCACTCCACCGACAACGAAGCCAGCGTTCAACGCTCTTCGCTGAAACCCCGTATCCTTTTCATAGGCGAAACTTTGCCAGCGATGTTAAACCTATGTTAAACACGGATGAAACGATTCCCTGTGTTACACTGTGTCTGATTATGTTCTTGTTGGAAAGCACCCTTTATTATTTCTCTTTAATTTCAACTGTTAGGAATTATAATGTTGCAGGTGCACTTAACTATTTATATAATTATATATACGTACTTTTTTTCGTCTACGTTCATTAAATTGCTGTCTGTCATCTTATTTAGGTTATTTTCTGTTTCCCAGCGTTCCTTCGCTCATAGTTCGGCAGTGTTGAATTATGAGCGAAGCTTCGCTCGCTACGGATTTTCGCACGAATTGACGGAGTGGAGGGTCTTCGCCAGCGAAGCTTCGCTGCATGAAATGCAGCACCTTTACTGACAAAGGCTGCGTTCAGCGAACTCAACAGTTGAGTGAGCGCTCGCTGTTATTGTTGTATTCTTTCAGATCATCCAATCAACATTCCGACGATACGAAGCAAAATCCATCGGAATCCTGTTTTCTGATTGGTTGCAGAGCGTCGGACGACGCACATCGGATGCAGTGTGAATCCAGCAACAGACTAGTAAAAGGATCCGTTCAAAGTGAACGAAATATCTCTGAACAGTACATTTCTAATTTCGTTCATTTTTTCCGTGGCGTTTCGAATCTTTCGGTCAGTAAAAGGATCCGTTCAAAGTGAACGGAACGTTCATGAACGACACATCTCTATACTACAAACGCTCACTGAGCACTCAGTGAGCGGTTGTAGTACTGAATGCACCCATTATGTATGTACAAATATTAAGTTATAAAGAGTTATAAGAAGTACAAACACAGCACAATTAAAACGTGTGAGTGCATAATTAAATGCGTATTCAATAATTTTTGTTATGTGTGGTTCTAATTATCCCGATATTCTTATTAATCTCAGTCTTAACTGCTGTTGGATACAATTCATAGTGTGATTAAGCAATCTTCAATCTTAATCTCAATTTCAATTTCCAATGCATAGTCTAATCACGGCTACTGCTTTACGTTTTTACTGTTTACGCTGGGCTGCGTTCAGATTCCTCACCGGGTGAGTAATCGCTGGATGACTGGGTGAGTGGACGAAGCCTATCGAGAAGTACCGGAGTGATTTGGGAATCTGAATGCACTCTAAGATAAGAGAGTGTTCTATAGGCATCGGTTACAGCAAATAGTAACATAAATATATCAGATTAATAAATTATATATAATTATATATAAATAAAATATATATAATAATGATAAAAGATGTAAGATAAATGTCTTAAGCCGGCGGCACACGATGCTTGTTTTCTTGCTGGATTGCTAGCTAGTGTTACGTCCCGGGG